CCTGGAAATAGCTATAACTTACAATCTGATGTCAATGGAAGTGTAAAACAAAGAATTATATCTATTTACATATATGAGTATATAATATCTGTTGATCAATCACAATGGAGAAACAAATTATTTACTAAATATTCAACCTGTATATTATTCAACAGTAATTTACAATTACACCTATTGGATTGAATTCTACTATACATATATATAGCCTTATAGAAAACTGAACAATCGTGTTGAATATTCTGTAATTTACTTCCTTTCTTCAAATCTTTGCACCCATTCGACATATATAACATCACGATATCTCCTTTTATCTAATAATATATATATATATATATATATATATATATCACCACGACACCTTATTATAACTAATTGATAATTGTAAATAGATTAAAAGTTAACGAACTTACCTGTATAGGATATACTTTACTTTACTTTACGTTGACAGCTCTCTTATTAGGCTTAAGCCTGTAAGCCGGTCTCTGCTAAATCATTATCTGTGCTCTAACTCTGCTTGCGGGCGTAGAGATGGCAGTGTTGTAGAAAATTGATATTCAGCCCATAGATTGTCCAGTCGAGATTTGAATACGTTCAGTGACGGTGCTTACACCACTTCCGTTGGAAGCCCATTCAAGCCACCCACAATTCTGTAAGTGAAAAAGTTACTTCTTAGGGTAGTGCGGCAGTAATTCTTTAGGATTTGTTCTGTTTTCTAAAAAGTAGCCATAAGACACCACTCATACAGTCATGTCATAGAATGCACATTGTATGATTAATATTTCTAACTTTAAATTCAATCCTTACAACGCACCATACTATCACCAACGTTTTCATAGACTTTGAATATTTTCTGTAGTTGAAAACTATTAAAAGTCCATAAGATGATTTTTAAAGTGAATATGTCAACATGCAAGGAACGAACTAACGTTTTAATTCAGAGAATGTGAGAATGTTTTTCTAGTACTGATTTATCTATTTATTAACTCGTAATTAGCTCAATGATGAGAGGTCACTTAATAAAGATTATCATGTCTCACAATTTCCATAAGGAACAGCCAAATACCAACCGAAAAATGTTTAATTTCTATGGTTATGTTTCCAAAATAGGGAAAATGACTATGTATTTGTTTTATTTTCTAAATACACAGTGTATTTAATTACATCATTTCTAACTTAAATATATGTGTTAAGTTTCTAATTATTTTACTGCTAACGCATTATATTAGATCATTTAAAAAAACGGTTACGTTTCTATTGTTTTCGTTACGCATCATTGCTGCACGTAAAGTGATGACGTAGGACGCTTTTTTGAACATGTGCTTTCCTTGAGGCTTACGGTGGCTCTGTTGATTCCCTTTTTTGTTTATGACTTGTTTATGGAACCCTGGTAGTAGGCAACTTGGTATGTAAATGTAAACTGTTTTTATCTATAATATTGTAATTGCGGCAGTAATATTCATTAGGTTCATGTGTAGAATTTTACTGTTAGGCTTTAAAATGTCCATGTCAAAATTTTCCGATTTGGTGTCTCGGTTTTGCATATCACCGACCTAAGTATTTTCTATATAATGTTTATTGTAGGCATTTACAGATATTGTCATAAGTTGTGTATTATGTGTATCATTCTGTATTATTTACGGATAGTGTTATGTGTCATTTTCAATTGTATTTTCGCTCTGAAGGTTTTTATTTCGTATATAAAGCTCAACTGTCATAGGCCTAGTGCATAATGGAATATTCCATTTTCTGTTATAAGTGGACTCGCCCACATTCTTATTGTTTAAAGATACAGTAGTACCATAATATTTTACTCTTTTGGTTATAATTTATTGATATAAATGAATCTTATTGTGACCTTGATACTTATTATTGTATTTTGTGTATTTTCAGTTAATCGTTTCGTCCATTAAACATATTACCATTTAACCTTTTATGCCTGTTCCTTATAAAGGGTTGATTTCTCTAGATATCGTCTCGAAGTGGGTGTACTAAAAGGGTGAGACGCATTAGCAAACATCTACAATATGTCTTTAAAACATGGTTTGGCTAATATCTTTTTTTTATACGAAAATGTCTAATTTGATCCCCAAGGATTTTTACATCCTCACATAATCCTATCCCTCAAGAATTCTTGACTTTCTCATTAGAAACATCAATTAATCAAACAATAAGCATGATTTGACCAAGAAAAATAAGCAAAGGCAAACTTTAAAACTGAACCTATAAAACATGTTGTTACTTAGAGTTTCACGCTATGCGCTCTTCAGATATATGTAATTCAGCCTTCGTCCCAACTGAAGTTGGACAAGTAGAATTTATTCTCATGTCTATACTTCGAGACGAGTTCGTCTTAGAATGAATATATAATGTTGGAATTGTAAACTTGTCTTATAAGAGCATATATTCATCAGTGTCATAAATAACATAACAGGATCCTTATATAATAGATTTATCCAAAAAACTTAGTTACTGTCCATAAATATGCAATTGACTATTGAAAATCACTTAATATAAAGATAAATACTTAGATTTATGAATTTTCCAATTTTACAGATTTTACAGGGATTCTGTTGTAACTTTATGACACGAGGTAGGTTCACTGATGAATATATACTCATATTGACCATTCTTGAGAATTTGAATTTTATGATAAAGTACATGGTTCAAAACAATTTATTTTCAGCATTAAGTATAGGTTAATGGTCGAAAGCTTGTTAATAAGTCTAATAATGAACGTTGGACGAGGACCGAAGGCCCGAGTTCGATCGATATTATCAACTAGTCGAATATAGATCAAGTTAAGAGGCTGGATGTTAGAGAATAACCGAAGCCGTGTTGCACGTGCATTGTCTAGTATATTCATAGGGCCGTATGCAACGCTCTTACCTTGACTAAAGTCGAACTTTGGCTAAAGTCGAACTTTACAAAGTTAGGATAAAGCCAACCTACTCGATAAAGTCAGACTTAGTTTAAACTTTCATTGGTATGCACAGCTCTTACTAGAGCCGAACTTAATAAAGTATTGGTTATGTATCAAAAGTATGGTGGATTTCTGATACCTTTTCAGGAGTTTTCCGGGAGCTTTTCGGGAGGTTCGGTTTGCATCCACCCATCCACACTTTTTTGATTCATAAATCACTAGAGTTCTTCAGTTTACGATCTAGTCACCCAAGCTTTTCTAACCCACATGAATGTCACGATAATCGCATGCTTTTACACTAAAATATAGTATAAATTCGGCGCTGGTAGATACAAATATTCATTCGAGGTTTCGAAAAAACACTATGGAGGACAAATCACAACTATCACGGAAACGAATGCATACATTAACATTCAGCGAACAAGATTTCATCTTAGACACGGTAGGCGAGTTAAAAAAACATTGAATGCAAAAAAATGACGTCAGGTCTATACATAAGAAAAGGCTTGGAAGGAAATCGAGAGTCGCTTTTGTGCCATGCCAGATTTCCACAAACGCAATTCCAGTCAATTTAAAAAATGTTGGAACAATTTGAAAATGAAGGCCAAAAAATCAGTAGCCCTTGAAAAGCGTGAGTGGAAGAAAACGGAAGGTGGTGTAGCTGAGAAGTCGGACGATGCCAGTCAAAAAATATGCTCTATGATACCGGAACAAATGCACAATCTGGCCAATATATTTGATAATGACGCCGAATTTCACAATGATGTACAAGATGGTGATAGTACAGTTCATTCTATATCATGTACATTTACTTAATGGTCATATCCGCACATCAGTGTTAAGTCCTGTTAATAAGATCAAATTATTAAAGCGATGCTTTCTTACCCTTAAATTTTCTACAAAATGGAAATTCCACGCCAGGAAATAGTATAGATCTTTTGAATCAATATAGTACATATACAAGGGCTATTGAAGCGTTTTGAAAGGCCAATTACAAGCATATGTTCACATATTTCCATGCATTTATATTTTCAGATACTAATCCATATTGGTATGGAACCGACAGACCAAAAAGAACCGGGACCGAGCACCAACCCTCTTGGAAGGGCATGTAAAAACCTCTCGATCGGTGGGTTCAAGGAATCCCAGTATGACCTCAACTCTAAAAGACTGATTATGTTACAATGGCCAGGGAGGAACATGCTCTAAAGACAGAGCTACTTAAAACACAAATTACTGCCGCGAAGAACATTTTGCTAAAATGAACATTCTGAACAAACAGATCCAAAAGGTGCAAGGTGCAGTGGCAACAATCATTGTTGTGTCCAGATTAGTTCGGATTGTCCTAGAAAGACATGGAAATCTTCTCTTTAATACACAAAACAGTCTTTCAATAGTATTTCTTGAGGTCGCATGAGAAATGTTATATTTCCGTTCAGAATTGTACAATATAGTGTTTAGTGGAACCGCAATATTGGTAACCCGGAAGTGACCTGATATGGATGAAGAGAACAGGAAGTGAATGAGTAACTAAGGACGCTAGAGACACTGTTTATATGTGAGTGGAATTGGGAAGTCATGTTGACTGGTGTTTCATATAGATGATGTAGTGAATTAAATTGAAATAAACATATTCGGGTGTCATGTGTTGCCCCAGGCCATCTTGTTACGATATCACGAATTGTCAAGTTGTGGTCACCAGTTACTTGAACATTAATGGAATGCCAGCCTTTGCGGTTTCTGAAAAGTTCAGCCTGTTCCCCTTTTGGACATTGGATTGGGATGTGGGTACAATCGGGAAAGTAAGCTGTTATATTGATGTTGAAGTTATTGACTCAGATATACCTTTGTTATTGAGTAGAGAATCATTGAAAAAAGCTGGAGCAGTTTTAGATTTAGAAAATGATAAAGCTGTTATTTTTGGACAATCTCTTGCACTTGAATTTACATCCAGTGGACATTATTGTATTAATGTGTTTGATTTTGATAATAATGGTCATCATGAAGAATTCTTTGATCAAGTTCTTGCTATTAGTAATGACTTATCTAAAAATGTTTGATAAAATTACATCGACAGTTTGGTCATGCGTCGGCTGAACAATTACAGCGGTTATTAAAAAGTGCAGGGACATGTCAATCTAGAATATTTGATATATTGGATGGAGTTGTACAACAATGTGATATCTGTCATAGATACAAAAGTACGCCTCCTAAGCCTGTTGTTGGTTTACCTCTTGCTAGTCAACATAATGAAACTGTTGCCGTTGATTTACATAAACTGGGCCCAAATGTATGGTATTTACATATTATAGATGAATTTACTCGTTTTAGTGCAGCTTGTATTGTAAGATCTAAACAGTCATCAGTTGTTGCTAATAGTTTCCTTTTGTTCTGGGTTAGTATTCATGGCGCACCTAAAAAACTTTACAGTGATAATGGTGGAGAGTTTTGTAACAAATATCAAACTGAAGACCACTGCAGGATACAGCCCTTGGTCAAATGGTCTTCTTGAACGTCACAATAAAATTCTTACTGAAATTCTAAATAAAGTTTGTGCAAACAATAAATGTAGCTGGTAAATAGGCTTAGCATGGGCATTGATGGCGAAGAACTAAAGATGTCACTGATAATGTTAAAGTACCGAGAAATGCAGACATCACTGGTAATGGTGAGGTACTGATAAATACAGATGTCACTGATAATGGTGCACTGAAAACTAAAGATGTCCCTAATAATGGTAAAGTACTAATAAATACAGATGTCAATGATAATGGTCAATTACTGGAAACTATATATGTCGCTGATAATGGTGTATTGAAAACTAAAGATGTCCCTAATAATGGTAAAGTACTAATAAATACAGATGTCATTGGTAATGGCGAGGTACTGATAAATACAGATGTCACTGATAATGGTGCACTGAAAACTAAAGATGTCCCTAATAATGGTAAAGTACTGATAAATACAGATGTCACTGGTAATGGTGAGGTACTGATAAATACAGATGTCACTGATAATGGTGCACTGAAAACTAAAGATGTCCCTAATAATGGTAAAGTACTGATAAATAAAGATGTCAATGATAATGGTCAATTACTGAAAACTATATATGTCGCTGATAATGGTGTATTGAAAACTACAGATGTCAATGATAATGGTCAATTACTAAAAACTATATATGTCGCTGATAATGGTGTATTGAAAACTACAGATAACAATGTACCTTCAAAAAATTTAGACGCTTCTGAATATGGACCATGTCCAAATTGTTACGAATGGATATCTAAGAACAATATTAAACGGCACCAGATTAAGTGCATGGGTATAGACAATGCACTTGGAATACAATCAAAGAAAAACCTACTCTTGCAATCTGACATCGCTTGTGGACGTTTCAAGTCAAATGCATCTGAATTCCTAAGGAAAGAAGTTTTTTCAATAATGACAGTTGATCTTATATCTGAAATTGCACAAAATGATGTTTTGATTGTGACACTCGGTGAATGCTGGTTAAGACAAAACATCGATAACCCACTGAAGAGAGCACATTATTCCTCCCAAAGAATGCGGTTAGCTGCCCGGTTGTTGGTGGAGCTAAGAAAATTGGTCGCAGATACTGGTAATGAAAAACACATGTCTATGTGGGATTTTATAAAACCAGAATTTTTCGATATCATGGCCCAAGCTGCATTAGAAGTTGCTATACCACTGATTGATGATGAAGATGAATTAAAATCTCCATCAAATTGCTTAAAACTGAAATATGACATTCTGAGATTGACAAATTTTAAGTGGAGCTTTGTTGTTAAAGGCACAGAACAAAACGATAAGGAAAGAAAAGA